ATTTTTTGTTTTCCGTGAAGGTTGTTTTTTGTTTTTAAGGTGTTTTTTTTTTTTGGGAGTAGAAAAAGGGGAGGGTTATATTAACAGCTAGAGGACTGGTTGAACATTAGAAAAGAAAAGCCATGCGTGTCGGCCAACGCTTCATACGAATTATTTTTACCTTGTGCATTTTTTTACTGGCTTGTAATAAACTAGTGTTTTATATCTTTTACCATTACTCTATTATCTTAAATTTTAGGCCTACTACACGAGTATGTTCCATCTCGAAATTTGCGATCCATTAATAAAAGTCAAATTTTATGCCTCGTTCTCGTTAAATGTTGATAATTGGAGGTAGAGTTTTTTCGACAGCTGCTGCCCCCCTTTGTGTGGAATTATTTCCCAGTGTAGGTATGTCTTTAGGCCCACTCAACGGAATTTGCTACACAGCCAGTCAGGTCAGGCGGTGTTTTCATGTGAGCATTTCGCAGGTCCGTGCGAAGTCATGGTCATGTCAGCTGCTGTGTTGTGAGTTAATTGAGTGTTCGGAGAGTCACAACATGGCCCCCCACCAGCGCTGACATGACAGGAGGTTCAAGAACCAGAGAGGTGGTCTCACGATACGTCCTGAACGTGAGATCTTCCAGACCGGCGGAATCGCTCGATCAGTCCATTGGATTGAGATTGAGGGTGATTGGCTGTTGTATGATGAAGATTGGTATCAAGGCGCTCGGCCATCTCCCTCCACAAGGCAGAAGTAAACAGAGCCTCTGTCGGATGTGATGTCGACGGGGATGCCAAAACGGGCGATCCAGTGATTGATTAACGCACGGCCACATTCTGTTGTTGAGGTGTCCTTGAGTGGGATAGCCTCTGGCCATCCTGTCGTTCTGTAGATGATTGTGAAGAGGTGAGTGAAGCCCTGTGATGGGGGTAAAGGACCTACAAGATCGACATGAACGTGACTGAACCTCTTTTCAGGCACTGAAATCTTATCGATAGGTGCCTTGGTATGCGTTTGCACTTTGTAGCTTGGCAGTCCGTATATTCCTTTGTCCACTTGCTGACTTTCTTCCTTATCCCATGCCAAACAAGTCTCTGAGATATCAGGCGGACTGTAACCTTCCTGCCTGGGTGGGAGAGGCCATGAAACAAATCGAAG